AAGTATTAAGTAATAAATACAATTTAGAGTACGTACAGTACATTATATAGTACACCGTAGAGTACATTCCAAACAATAAAACGATCATCTTTCTGAGAAGTGACACGATTGAGACCTGACCGCCTTCTTGACTAACCTCCAGTATCTTGGTATCCTCCTAGGATAGCCTCATTAAGGTATAACTTAGCTATACCCCAAAGCATCTTGCCAGGAAATTTGCATGTTTGATGACTATTTATGCACTTGAAATTTACATAACTTATAAAGAATGTACTATGGCCTATTTTGAAATTAATGCCACAAGGCCTTATGCACCACGATCTGAGTAGATCTATTGAGCTCCCCGTCTTTTATAACTCACCGGCAGCTTCAGGTTGTTAATCAACTGCTAGAGCCTTGCCAGCGGCTCCTAAGTGTAGGATCTTGCTTGTGGTTTTTCGTGTCCTAGTGGCAAGACCCTGACATAGACCTTCACAGAAACATAAAATGTGTTCTGCGGTCTCCTCCTCTTTCTGGCAGTATCCGCACAATGTTTCTTCTGTCTGTACTCCTATCCAGTGCATGTGCTTTGTTAAGTGGCAGTGCCCTAACAGGAGTCCAACCAGAATCCCGGTTCGGTTGCGGTCGCCTTCCAGTAATTCTTTTGTAAGTTTTGCGGATGCTTCTATGAATCTCTTCGCGTACCTGTAGGATTGTTCCATCAAGTTTTGGGCTCAAATTATCTAAGGTCACGGTTGAGTTGAAAAAGCCACTGTCTCGAGAGGGATTCGAACCCTCGTCCTTCGGCTCAATACGCCGCCGCCATAACCACTTGAGCTATCGTGCCTTCTATCCAGTCGGACCCACTCCTCCAACTCCTCATCTCAACCTACAACCTTTAGAATTTTGCCTATTTTTGCCATATTTTCATCTTATCTTTATGGAGTACGAGTAATTCCTTTGTAAGTACCTTCTATGAATCTCTTCGTCTCATGGTTGTGGTATTGTTCCACCAGGTTTTGGAATCATTAAGGATCCATTTTAGATATATCCTCTTTTGTGACAGGTGCTAAGCCACAGTGAAGTTCTGGATCTACAGAGTCCGTGTTGGCCCCTTCTTTGGCCAACATGTCAATCTTTTAGTTGCCTCTATGCCCCGAGCGCCCAGGGTGCGAGGTCATTAGTGTAACTGACTTCCGTCAGGGGCTCCATCCAGTTCCAAACACTCTTTGCTTTCACCTCGCATAAGGCTACTAGGGCTTTTAGTGCTGCCTGATTGTCAGATAAGTTGGCTGTCTTCCGTGAATGTATTCCTAGTATTTTTCCCTGGCGCAGGGTTCAATCGCTATGATTGGCACTCAAATACAGAATCTCTCTCTTTATTTCAAACTATATGAATTTTATATTATATTACTTATATATTACTTACATTTACTTAATTAATGTACATGCATATTTTCATGTTAACCAAATGAAACGAGATCAGAAATAGCGTCTTGTGAACTATGTCTAACCCGTCTCTATATCATGCCCCATATCTGTTCTATGGGATCCATGTCAGGAGAACTTTCAATTCTCTCCAATGGGCGACAAGTCGAGCTACATGTTTTCGTGCATTATCATGTATTAACACGAAGGCACGAACGGGACCACCGCTTCCAGAAGAAGTTCCCAATGTACCTTAGTGCAGTCAAAGATCCATTCTGTATGATAGTTCGGCATGGACGTTCATTCAACCACATACCACAACTGACTTTTTGAAAAGGCTGTGAAACACATGAAGTAAAGCGTTCTGCGAGTCTTCTGCACCCATTCCTGGATATCCGATTACCACAGACCAAACCAGCATCTATTAAGAGTACAGCCCCCATTATTCAAGTGTTGCGAGGTGCTGATTTTCGAATAGTCGCCTTTCTATTCGATGTCTGCCCGGTAGTAAAGAACCTGATGCGGGAGGTCTAGAGGCTAGAAATCACGTAGCCTTCTGATGACTATTTCAGGGCTCAACCTTTCATTACGGACCGTTTAGAGTTAACTATCTATCAAGGAAGACGTTAAATGACAGTTCCTTAGAAAGAGCAATAAAACTATCGTTTCTAGCCGTCATACATCGCGGTCGACCATTACCTTCGATTGACACTTCCGGTGGCCTTAGACCGCTGTAGACCTTCGTGGATTATAGAGCGCGTCTCACCCAGGAGTTGGACCTATGCAAAGGACGTTCCGTCGTTGGCCGAAGCTTCTGCCTGGACGAGATCTTCTTAAATTAATAATTAATTTTTACTCAGATGTATTGTTTCATCAAAGAAAACAATTTAAAAACCCAATTAACTCACGAGACAAGTTGGCTCTGGAAAGAAAGAAATTGGACTAAAATTAAACAGCAGCCTCATCTGAAGGACGGAAAGTCCAGGCTTACGTGTTCTTGGATAGTGATGTGCATTATGTAATTACTCTATTATAAATACTTTTTCTATTATATTTGTACTCTATTCTGAATTAAATAAATAATAATCTAAAGCAGACGCCTGGAACACTAGGAAGCAAATCGAGAAAGTTAGTTCTATGGTTTTCAAAAAAAAACTGAAAGTCACAGTAAAAGTTCGTCCCGTTGATGCCTTTTTCTCGTCTTTCCTCTTCTTTATTTGGAGGTAAGTCGTTTTTTCCACCATTAGCCTGTAGTAATGTTTGCTTAAAAATTCCACGCGCTCACAAAGCTGGGGGGAAGCAGCGGCTTATCTCGACAGTGTGGTGACTTTTATTTCGAATATTAACTCGCCGACGACCGTTAGATTTTATTTCATTGCCTCCGATGGCTTTCCCTGAGATTATTTTTACGAGCGCCTAAGCCTTAGGAGCTTATTCAGCTTGAGTGGTTGTTTTTTTACCGACCTTCCAGACGTCCTGCGCTGTTTTCGTACCAAAAACGCGAAGGAAAAAGAACAGAAATAAGTTTAAGGTCCTGACAACTATACCAGTTGATAGGACGCGTAAATAATTAATAAGTTACCACTGCTACCACCTCAGGCAGGCAACTATGTTGTTTACCCCATTAAATTTCGTGGTCCGATTGATCAAATAACTTTTTTCAATTAATTAATATTTCAGTAAGGTATTGGTTGAAATGAAAAAGCTAGTGTCACGAGCGGGATTCGAACTCACGACCTTCGGGTAAATAGCCGCTGCTTTACTACTTCGATCCACTTGGACACCAACTTCCCATTCAATCGAATCTTGATTACCCCAAATTTGAAAATTGGCAAAAAGGAGAGAAAATTCGAAAGGATTTTGAGATGAGAAGTTATTATCCGAGTGGATCGAAGTCACGACAGCTCAAGTCGTAGAGCAGCGGCGTGTTTAGCCGAAGGTCGTGGGTTCGAATCCCGCTCGTGAACTGACTTTTTAATTTCAACCAATACCTTACATAAAGATTAATTAATTGAAAGGAGTTATTTGGTCAATCGGACACGAACTATAATCGAGTTACAAATACTCTAAACCCTATAAACACACCAAAACCACTTGAACATCTGCAGTACAACTGAAGTATACAAGTTGTGAAAGAAAGCCAACAAGATGGACAGATGAAATAAACATTTAGCAGGAGGCAAATGAAGAAGGACAGCCAAAAATAATGGGCACAAAAAGAAAGACTGGGATCATTGCCCAAATGTGCTTTCTCTCTGAGATCATCATAATCGCTAAACAGGTTAACCATCATATGAGGTGTTTCTCCTTCCTGAAAGTCGTGGGTTCGAATCCTGCGCGTTACACTGACTTTTTCATTTCAACCAATACCTTACATATAGATTAATTAATTGAAAGGAGTTATTTGGTCAATCGGACCACGAAATATAATCGAGTTACAAATACTCTAAACCCTATAAACACACCAAAACCACTTGAACATCTTCAGTACAACTGACGTATACAAGTTGTGAAAGAAAGCCAACAAGATGAACAGATGAAATAAAAAATTAGCAGGAGGCAAATGAAGAAGAACAGCCAAAAATAATGGGCACAAAAAGAAAGAATGGGATCATTGCCCAAATGTGCTTTCTCTCTGAGATCATCATAATCGCTAAACAGGTTAACCATCACATGAGGTGTTTTTCCTTCCTGAAGGTCGTGGGTTCGAATCCCGCGCGTTACACTGGCTTTTTCATTTCAACCAATACCTTATATAAAGATTAATTATGTTGTTTACTATAACACTACTAAAAGCTTAGTATAGCCGCATAGTTGATAAAGTCACCTTGTTCAATGGATGTGTAATTCCATTAAAGCTAATATTATTATATATCCCTATTGTATGTACACCTAATAAAATAACTAGCATACCAACAGTTTCCTCCCTGAGGTGGTAGCATTGATACCAACCTAAATACATATAAATATATGCTCATTGCAACAAAAGATTTGTAAAAACATTAAATCAAGTGAATTTGGTTCTGCGTTTTTTGACATTAATCTGCTAAACCTGGGTGAGAATCGAAGTCATCGTCTGATAGACCAAAATAGCAAGTAAAGCCATACTGAAATGTTCAGAAACGACGAAATTGCAGGTCCATCACCCCTCAGATATCTAGTAGAAATCTCACAATTGGGTGAAAGTGCAACATGATCGGCAATAGAGTTTAGAGTTCGAACTAAAAAAAAAAATTTCTCCGCCGATTTCGAAAGACTAGGAATGAATATAATCATATGTAAGGACATAAGAGGTTATTATCGCATCATAAATTAATTAAATAAGTACATAAATATAAATAGAATGATAGAAAAGAGAGGCGTTTCTGGTTTTTATTTTGCACCTAGTGGCCTAGGATGTCATCCAGGTGATGGACTGTCTTAAGGGAAAGCGTCATCATACTACGTCAACGTCAGAGTACGATGATGTCCCGGGACGGATCGAGAACGGAAACGGGCTGGAAACTGTACTGGAGAGGGATAGCCGATGACGTCGAGTCCCCTCCAGCCTGGAGAAGCCTTCTCGACGGCGCACGCCCCCCGGAGTTTCCCTTTTGAGCTTGGGTTCGCTTCAGTCGCACCTTTGCCCCAGCCGTGTAGTGACCGCGTTGCGTTATCTCATCAAACGGCGTTCGACGTGTATCAGTTTATTCTAGTGGTTTACTCGAGGCATCGGCCTACACGACGTCATCCCGAAGGTAAGCACCACCAGGTGATTCTCGGTTTTATGTGTTCAGTGTTCATTACCATCCGTGTCTCAATGGGAAAACGAACTTTCGAATATTGGATCAGGTGTATTTAATTTTTGTCGATGTCTATTGGGCATGGGTTTTTGTTAAGAACCTCATGGGTACGTTAGTTCAACTCGGTACACCACTAACCCCACAACCTGTCAAATATGATACCATGTAAAATGGAACCGTGTATTAATGGAACAGCCCAAGAAATTATGTTAAAAAAAACATGGATTCAAATAGCAATAGTTTCAAAACGTATGTAACACTTATCAACAGTCGACATTCCCATGGCTCTCTGAGTTGCACATCAATAATTAAGAATTAATTAGTTTTATTATCAAATCTTCGTTCCATATCACACTGCAATTCGACAAATTAGTCGAAAGGCCGGTTTTCTGCAAAATTCTATCGTTATCACATATCGTTATCATTTTCATATGTGAAACGTTGGCAGTCAATAAATCAAGTTATTTATCAGTTTTTTCCCATTCTTATGGACGAAATGAAAGATCCAGAAGCTACCAACGAGCTTATATGACAGGACTTTAAATGGACTTTAAAAACCACAGCCACCAGTCGATATATATTAGCTAGTAAACATGAAAAAAGCAAAATTGATAAAAGGAACAATAAATATTTAATTAAGAAGAGGAGATGTTTCATTTATTAATGAAGAAAAAAGCCTGAAGAAACACGTGAAAGAAAAACTAAACTAGAAATCATAGAAGAAAACCCTGGGAATAAAATAATAGTCGAAATATACAATCGAAACAGTATAATTACACAAATAATAAAATTTGAAGTTTCTGTCTTCATCATTTGACTAACAAGATGGGAATTTTAAAAGGTTCAAAAAGGATCCTTACGATTTTTTTTTGGGGGGGGGGATTTACTTCAATTTTATTCGATTTTTTTCTCACGGTCTTTTGAATCATAAAAATTATGAAATAAAAGCACCTAAAAGCTTACATATTTATTGCGAATGAATCTTTTCTATGTTGGACGTTAGAAATCGGTACAAAGGAAGCCGTAGATCGAATGTAAAAGGGAGTAAAAAAAAACCCGAGGGGAGGGTGGTAGGACTCTCACCGAACTGCTGCCCCCCCGGGGGTAAAAGCCTCGGACTAGGGTGAACTCGATTGGGGGAAAAGAAAAGAAAGAAAATCCTCTCACAAACGATGAGCGACAAGAAAGAGGAAGCGGCCGACGAGAAACACAATGAGGGTCAATACATTCCTCCCGACTGCCCCACTGACACTATAAAATATTTTTAGACGTGGCACTCAGAGCGCGCTTCCTCACTGAAGACTCTTTTTCACGGTGAATTTACGTCGATTGTTGTTTCAAGGCGAGAAAAGGACGGCCACGTTTAATAAATCGTTATAGAAAACGCATCAATTTTGACCCGTCTTCCATTAAATGTTATCGATCGCAGCTAACTCTCGTATATCTCGCTATTTTATGCCCCCCGCAAGATTGATCGTGATAATGAGTGATGGAAAGCAATTTTATTTTTAAATATGAAATTGCGTAAAGCTTATACAGCAAGGACATCCGTCATATTATTACTATTTTTTATTTGTACTTTGATTTTAGCATACAGCAATAGTACACTCATATACACATTTTATAATAAATACATACGTACAGATCTCATAATAAATTAATTAATTAAAACAGGAACTCAGAAAAATGAAATAGTTTTGCACAAAAGTAAATAATAACAGTAACACACGTAAAGCGACACTAAAGTCTATATCACAGTATCACACATCAATATCGCTTTCTTATAAAAATGCATATATCAGTTTATACACGTGATATTATTTCGATGAAATGATGCAAATCATTTATAGAATATACGGGAAAATAATTATTACATGACAACGTACTACAACACTCTCATGCCTCTTTCTCGCTCTCTCTTCCTCCTCTCACTCCCTCGCGCTCGCTGTACCTATATCTCCTTACTTTCAAACCTCTTTTTTCCTATTTTTTCTCTCTTGTCTCTCCCTCGTTTTCTCTCAAACGTCCTCTCCTCTGCCACACTCCTCGGTGATACTCCAGCTATCTTGTAACTCTATCCTCAATTCACTATTTTTCGTGATCCGCTTGACAAATTAATAACATTCAATTAATTAAGGTTTTAAGTTGAGATAAAAAATCAGTGTCGGGATCCCGCTCGTGACACTGACTTTTTTATCTGTCCTCAATGTTTTGTCAGTTTTTCTATCCATCTCTCCCTCCCTCTTTCTCTCTCTTCTCTTTCTCTCTCTTCTCTTTCTCTCTTCTCTTTCTCTCTTCTCTTTCTCTCTTCTCTCTCGCTCTTCTCTCTCTCTCTCTCTCTCTCTCTCTCTCTCTCTCTCTCTCTCTCTCTCTCTCTCTCTCTCTCTCTCTCCATTTCTCTTTTTATTTATCTATCTCTCCTTGTNTTATCTTCTCTCATCTTCACACGCTTTATCCGGTTTATTCTCTTTAACAATAATTCTAACTCTTTCTCTGCCCCTCTGGCTCACTCACTCCCCCCTCTCTCTCTCTCTCTCTCTCTCTCTCTCTCTCTCTCTCTCTCTCTCTCTCTCTCTCTCTCGCTCTCTCTCTCTCTCTCTCTCGCTCTCGCACTACTTATTTATCTATGTGTCTAGCTCTCCTTCTTTCACTCACTCTCTCTCCCTCTCTCTCTATCTATCTCCATTATATCTATTTGATATTGCTTCTCATTTTAAAGCTAAACATATTACATTTACACATTCTCAAACTGTAAAATGCTTGTGTCGTACACACTGATTTATAATTCATTCTTTACAAAATCTATAAAACTTTACCATAATTTACGCAATGTTATAAAATTATGTAAATACATATTTATGAGAAATATCTAAAAGCTTTTCTCTCTTTAGGTTATGTTTATATAATATTTAAAAATGTACGTAGACTGTAAAAAGAATTATATTTTTAGTACATGTTTTGTGTTTTGAATTATGTAAACTTTATTTTTATGTACGAATGCTCGTTAAATGTAAGCAAGGTCAATGAAACCTAATTTTGCGAGCTTTTATAAATAAAATGTTCAATTCAATTACATTCTCTCACTCTCACTCCATTATTTTATACTACTGTTTAGTAACAGAAACTTTTCTTTCCAGATTTATATTCACAATTTATAATCCTTGAATTGTATCGAAAAAATCTTTTTGCTCACTTATTATATTAATTATTCTGTCAACTAGAATATTTCGTTCAATAGGTGAATTGAAGTAAATACGTTGTAGTTCAATAACAACATACTGACCACAAAAATCAGGTTATTAGAAGTAATTAATGTTTAATGAATTAGAGTAGAGAAATTAGAAGTAGAGTGAACTTAGATGTACATTGTATTTCACATCAGATGTGAGAATGGTCCTTGAAACCAAATCTTGTGTGATTGATAAATAAAGCGTTCATCACAATCATCATCTCTCTCCCGCGTCTAACCATATCTATCTATTTATGGGCCTTTTCTTCAGATATTCTCTCTATATTTTATCCTTCACATTTTTCGTTTTTTTTTCTATTTCTCAGTATTGCCATTTCTCTTGCAATCCTATTAATATTTAAACCAATCAAATATATTTAGAAATGTATATTACTTTATATTTTATATTTATATATATTTTTTTTTCATTTATTTATTTATTTAGATAAATTTGTTTAACAATTTTACTATTATACAGAAGTTAAAAGCTGTTTTTTTTTCTATTTCTCAGTATTGCCATTTCTCTTGCAATCTTATTTATATTTAAACCAATCAAATATATTTAGAAATGTATATTACTTTATATTTTATATTTATATATATTTTTATTTATTTTTTAATTTAGATAAATTTGTTTAACAATTTTACTATTATACAGAAGTTAACAGCTTTTTTTTTCTATTTCTCAGTATTGCCATTTCTCTTGCAATCTTATTTATATTTAAACCAATCAAGTATATTTAGAAATGTATATTACTTTATATTTTATATATATTTTTTTTAAGATAAATTTGTTTAACAATTTTACTATTATACAGATGTTAAAAGCTGTTGTTATGGAATTTGAAAATTGAATTAATTTTCGATACTCTCCTTTCCTATTTCTCTTGTTATCTATCTCTATGTTAACTAGCTCACTTCCTTTCTTGTCTTTCTTTTTATCTACTCTCATTTCCCCTTTATCGCTTCTGAGTTTACTCACCCTCCCTCCTCTCACTCCATTGCTCACACGCTGTTCACGTAAAATATTAATATTGTTTCAATTTTTCTCTTTGTTATTTGTTGTCTGTACGATTTGCATCCGGTGACGGCTTTTTAGGCTGACCATTTTTCTTAAAGCTCGCCGGTGTTGAATTGAAAATAATTTCAAAAGTGAAAACATTTTTCTTTTAATCCGTTTGATGAATGTTTCTATTTCTTCGTTAATCGTAGCGTTCACGCTGATAAAGCTAATCTGACCAAAGTTCAACAATTGAAAACTTTTAATCTCTATTGTTTTAAAGTTTATTCTTAGAAAAAGTAATTTATTTTTGATTATTTTGAACTTGATTGATTGCTAAAAAAAAGATTAGTAAGATAAAATTCACTTCTAAAATGCGTAAAAAGGAACAAATAGAAAAAGGCATATAAATCGATAGGTCGTTGCAACGGACAATATGCGTGGTATATGAAATATGAAAGAGAATGGTCTTTAATAATTGAATTTAATTTTTGTCTTCCTTCTGGTATATATTTTTTTTTTCTTTTAGAACTGGATCGCTTTTAGAACGAATCGAATAACTGTACACGACCAGTGTAATGTTTATGACTTTTCTTTGCCGTGGGGAAGGCTTTGTTGTGGTCGGTTACTACTGGGTTGCAATTGTCTGCCCGGGTCTTTCTGGCTCAAACCTCAACTGGTCATTATCCTGGGGACGGGCTTCTTTTTTTTTTTCTTCTTCTTCTT